AATACCAGTGCGGTCGGAAATTAAGCGATAAGCGATCGATTAAAAGTGGGAAGTTGGGCGAAATGATTACTGTAGTTCAAGTGATATTAGCGTATTTCTAATTTAGTTTTTAACTCAAACAATATTTATTTACTCACTGTTTACTATAGCTAGAGCGCTGTACGTGTCTTCATTTTCAGGTTAGTTCTTCTGCCGATTTCTCGCAACCAACAATGTGATTTTTTATTTGGGATTTCAAGAAACATAACATGAATCGTTATGGCATTCATACGCACAACCTTTTGCCATGTTTCAACTTTTAAGTAGTCAGTTAATATGGTCTTTCATAGTAGCATTTCTATGGGATTGACATACTAGCATGAATGAGTTCAATTATCAGTGTTCACTGATGACGTCATTTGACTGGCCCTCTAGAGGCGAAATGACGCCAGGAAAAGCGGACGTTTGTCGTCTGCTTCACAGCCCGTTTTATACCCGATATTTAGGGCATTTCGCAGCACATACAAGTTGTTTTTATCGACAGAATTCATTCATAGATCTCAAATTTCATGTACAGAGTGTCAAAAGCCACACCTCTGCTCCCCTTTTTAAAGGGCGACAGTCGTCATATCGCGTCGTCATATCGCGTCCTGTTCGATATGGGACTCATAACGACTTATACTATACATGAAATACTTATACATGAAATTCGAACACGCGCTGCGCGACGGCCACTGCGCCTTAAACGAAAATGGTTACTAGAAAAAAACGGTTCTGGTCAACTGTTTTCCAAACTCTCCGATCATTCTGTAAACACAATTATATGCATACTTTATATAGTATGGTCAGTATAGCACGGCGGCAAATCACTCTATACTTCATAATGAACAGCGCCCTCAAATGGGTTTTAAAATGTGCAGCTATTTGGCAAATATGTTAAAAACATATTTCCTCTACAGTCTGTCATCCTGGTATTAAAGCATGGATTTATTTGTTAACAAAATATTAAACTAACAATGTTTATGGAAACGTTAATTTCTTGATCAAATATAACTCAAATTTGACACAAATATATGTTTTATAGTTTGCATAGATGTAAAACATTGCCCACCTTCTAAATCTACCTGAAAACCATACACAGGCAAGGCTTGTGATTGATTGATAATGAATTTGTCAATACATTCTTGACTTGTGGAAAGTATTCTTTAAAGAAAGACAATATATTAAAGTCGTGGTTAATACTGTTCCTGGAAAACAGGTCAATGACCTTGTAACTGCCTGGCTGAGGGCAACAACTTTTTATAAAACTCACATGTTGATTACAGACCAGTCATAGCCATTTGACCCTAAATTGAACTGACATGCCTGGCATGCTTAATGTGTCTGCCGTCCATTTTTCATAACACAAGACAACTATTCCACTTACGCAACCATATGCTGATCTTTTGTACATAGATATAACTAGAGGTTACTGAATTGACAATTTGGGTGCGTGAACCAGTTTATAATTTGATTGGATCACATTTTAAAAGTATATCAACTGTGGGTTTGTACTGTGTATTTTGTATAAAATATCTCATCTACTCTCATTCTCAACTGTTCAGTTCAAATTCTGAATATTATTTAAGATGGAAATCTTTTAGTAGTAACCAAATGATGACAATTTTGCCATTTTTGAACAGTTAAGATCATAATTCAATGACATAAACAAGAATGTCGATACCTTCTTAAGGATCAAAACGTTTTCCGAGGATTAAAACGGTTTTATTTGTCTGGCATCAGCCTGTGACCCTAGCACAAATCATACTATGTCTGCATCCATTTAAAACAAACATTTTTCAACATCGCGTGTTGTTTCACATTCACGTCTAATGAACATTATAATTAGCGTAAATCTTCAGAGAAATACAATATTTGGGGAATAAAGGAACAATAGGCGAGAGGTAGTTGGTCAATAATGGGACGTACAAAGCCCGAAATGTCAAAATATTTAGTGTGCGAGCAGTGGTAGGCTTGAAAATAATCGCACGTTTTGTTCCGGGTTTTGTTAGACCGTTATATTTTAATTGAGGGTGTACAAGCAAGCGTTAACGAAATTTTAAAATGTTAATATATTGCAAAAAAAAAAGGATTTTCCACAAAAATGTACAGTTTTTCTCCATTTTTATGAAACTTTCCTTTCTTCAGAAATATACGAGGCGTTAATGAATCGTATAGTGTTTGCTAATATTATTACACTCCAATAAAAAAATGGACTGTACCTGTTACGTAGCTGTAGCCTCGTTTTAAATAATAACGCCATTTCTTTGAATCATCATTTAATGGGGCAACCTTATATTTGAAGTCATGCCGTCTAAAAAGTTTTTCGGGTAAGTGTATTTCATTTTCCATTTTAGTCTTCGTCTACCATGCCATTGGCTCTATATTACGGCTCATATTGGTCTTGTTAGTTGTTTTAACTGGATACATAAATCCACTTACTGTGACATCTGGTGTTTACTGCATTGTACAGCACTTCTGTAGCATTCTGGGCATAGTTAAGTTCTTCTGTGAATAGCTTTGATCATTGTGTATGTGATGTTATGTCTGTATGACCAGTAACTAGCTCTATTATTAATTCACGTGTTCGTCGTTTTGCCTGGCAACAAGCTTGATATTAAGGTGGCAACCGCGGTAAAATACCCATACAGTCACATTTTAATTAACATATTTCGTATAACCTAACTATATCAACCCATTTTCGTAAAGCCCTGATAGAGGGCAATATATCTATAGAAACTTTAATTCATGGTTTTCCCAATAGACGCTTTACGGTCTTACATTCATTCTAATATATACAATTTATTTTGCAAGGAATTGAGTTATTTTTTCTCAGATCTGTTTTTAGAATATAGTTAATTTCAGGATTTATTTCAGGACATATTATCTTGTCAAGATATTTGCGATGTATGGGTCACATTTTTAATATATACAAATCAGGTACATGATTGTGAATTTAAAAATGAGTTCTTGACAATCGGAAAAATGTGACTTCATAACAATTTGAGGTTACAAGTTTAATAATCAGGATGAATTGAACAAAATGATTTAAGTTGCGAGCAAATCACGGACTGCAGTAAACTTTGTTCGTATGCTATTACATTTCAACATCAAGGACCAGTTTACGCGTCTTACAAGGGTTGTTATAAATTTGAACGCAAATTTAATGCCAATTATGGACGTTGTATGTCTGTGAATACAATGGACGGTGTGAAAGTTTCAGAATACATATGTATAGAGTGGAAATGGGGGTGTCGTAGCTGGTACAGGGGAAATAGAGAGGAGCAAGGAAAACATGAGAGCATAGTGTGATCTGGGAATACTGGATATGGGACTGCCATGTGTGCAGGACACTACAACAAATTGGTACCACCGATTGAGAAATGGACTTACAAAGTGAGCTGGAGGGTGCCAAGTAAATCTTTTGTGGGACAGTAAGTTCTTGGTCAACAATGATCTAAAATACTTCCTTCGTTACAGCAGCACGTTTTCTGTGAGTACTGACTCACCTGTTGTTTTACTTTTGATTTGAAAATGGGATAATAAAAAGTGTTCCATGCCGTAATTATCGTATAAGTTTGTTGGAAACAATCTGGCACCACCCAATGATACTTGACGAATCAGGGCCGTGGATGCTATTCGATTTGTTTATATTTCGCAAAGTTACCTTATTTTTTTAGTGAATATATTTAGAAACTATTTTGTAAAAAAAGTTGTTTTGAACTTTTTAAAATCTTCTATGCATCAAGTTAGCTTTCACACATATTACCTAGTGAAACGGTGATTGTTAATTTCTGATACATCAGTCAGTTTTGATGATCATTTTAGATTCATATAGTTGTTTTGACTGCCCACTAAAGTGCTGTAAATAATGTGTGCTACATTATAATAAAAAGTATCTACTAAATTATATGATTGGTGGTTGCAAAGACCATGTTCTGAATAATAATGCAGTGGACCAGAATGCAATCTAACAAGATACCCCTGAAACCACGAAGAGGAAATGAGACCACTTCAATTCCAGTGTAGTATGCAAATGACTTATCGCAATGACCTCACGACATGAGGTTACCGAAAGCATGGTGTGTACAACAACTGATATATTGCATGATACTAGTCAGTATATCGTCTTTCAACGAATATATGTGCATTATGTTAACCTCACCCCGCCCTCCGATCCTCGGTAAATATTGGGGACATCAAACAATTAAGTACATGTGACTTATCGTATCATTGTGGTTCACTTGGTGCAATAGTAAAAACAAATCAAGTTTATATATTTCCTGTCTTCGTTGTGGATGTCGTTATTATTTGTTAGACACAGCACTACCCCTTGGGAAATCAGCAGTAATGTCACTAAAGTTACATGAACTAAACAAAACAAAAAAACAGACATAATAATTAAAAAAATGTATGTATACAGTTGTTGCAACACACTCTCCCTACGCAATCATTTGATGTTGCTACCTTTTATAAAGTTGCATTTAATAAATTTCGCTTTTTTAGTGATTATTATGTTTATGTAGACTTTGTCTTTGCTGTTTATAAATTAGACACGATATAATGAACCGGAACTTACCTCTTCTCCTTCATCATGTAATTCATATATTCTGTTTTCAGCTGTTTTTGTGTTTCTACCTGTTTTTAACAATAGTTACATAATCGAAATAGGTTTAATTGTTCACGTATTCTACAGTTGGATTATGTTGTGTTGTGAAAATATTCTGTAAATTCTTCTTGCCGTGTGAATATTTTGTATTTTTATTGTCACTATTTATTTCTGCATTCCAGTACGTAGTGAACTGTCTCTCTATGAGTTGAGGCGCACTCGTTCCACAGTTGTTTTGTAGGAATCTCATTGCCAATATTTCACATCATTCCATGCGCTAAGATAAATAGGATTTAAATTATTGAATAAAATCAGTATTAGTTTACTTGTTTTGCATTGTACAGTACATGCTTTTTATAGTTGTGTACACATTGTACCTGATGACATATATCATTTTTTATTAATATTATTGGCATTGTCAGAGTATTTTTGTGAGGGTTTTTGTAAAATATGATTACCAGTAATTTAGAGTTAATAACTCGTTTAGGTCTAAAGTTGTCATTTTGATAAAATTTTAACAAAACTTCTCGAGCATCTTTTAATTCTTTCAATCACTTATCAAGATTACGCAATGGGCCAAACTACAAGAGGAAACGTTAGGTACTTTGTCTGGGTAGGTGAATGCTGTCAGAAGTGGAGATTGTTGTTGGATTCACAGACTTGAGGCACGCATAAATAGACGACCAAAGTCTGTTTTCAGTTGTCCCAGCAGAGAAAAAACTGTCAATAATATGATATGTGTTTGTAAATCGAATCGTGTTGTTATGAGTGCCTTATTAAATAACTTGGGATTACTGGTAAAATTATTCTACTTACAAAAACATAACATTTAGCCTTAATAAAATTGATAATTTATTTATAAATGATACTAACATTACTATCCAGAGTTATGGGGGAACCAGAATTGTACTTGCATATTACAGCGTATGACATAGTGGGAGTGTGTTAGCTTGTGTATATATCTGGTAGTGTCGCGTATGTGTGGGCTTCGTATACGAACACAACCTTCAGCATCATTGATATGGAGAAACCTCATTGATGTTGCTGAACGTTACGTTGCATAAAATGTAAACTTATTGTGGAGCATATGAGTGTTCAATCAAAAAATTGTCCAAAATATTTACATCTTTTTTTTGAAGCTGTGTGAAATGCAGAAAAGCTATTTCTAATATTTTGTTGATGTTTATTATCGTAACACAGTACAAAGAAATCTGTGATATGTTTGGTAGTGCTCGTCTTAGTGTGTATTGGATTGGCAATAGGTTTGATTGTCAGCGTTACGGCGGGTCAGGACAAGACAATTTCAGTCGGTGTTTCTGACGATATAACAACAACACAAGAATCTACTAAATTGCCAGGTCAAGTGGAAGGTCGAGACGCATACGAGCATGCTGCAGTGGCCTCGGATGCCGCCGTGTGCTCTATTATTGGAAGGTGAGGGGTCGTTCATGCGCATTTATCCCATTTATTTGTTTCAACATTATAACATTGAATAATTTGTAACAAATTCTAAATGTTTTTTTCAGAACATGTCATGATTGATTATTAGCTAGACACAATTTTCAGATATGATGAGACTTTTCACCAATTGCTCAAAAAATTGTCAAATTGTGTATTATTGGACCATTTTTTGTGCGAAAATGTCAATGAAACTACACGGACTACAATTCGCTAGAAGTGAGTCCTCTTATCAGGAAATGGAGAAAAACAGAAATTAATCTTAGTGTGGGGAAAATGTACAGCAACTACATCTAGTACAATCGCGACTCATTCCAAAGTGTCTAAAGAATTTACGCTTGCAAACAAACGAACCTAACACGTAGTGTATTCCTCACTGATTCGTGATTTAATTGTATTATAGTGTTCGCTTCTTTTGGTCTGGCGATTACTTAAATGGCAGTGGTCGTTGCACCGCGCATGTGCGACATTTGTATTGATAAACATTGATTATCCCATAGTTTAATGCGCTCTTCTAGTGTAAATCACGAGGATGAGTGCACGCGGACGTGTACTAATTACCGCCGGTGACTCTTTCCATACCTTCCAATGAATCACTAAAGAAATTAACTAGTTAAAGCTTGGTATTGTTCCAGTTTGTATTCGTTGGTCTGCGCAACAGTCAAAGTCGTCAGCTTTTTTCATATGAGACCCATATCTCGCGCATGCGTGCTGCGACGACCACTGTCCTTTAAAATAAATAACTTTTTCAATTTCATACAGAGAAGCACTTCAAGATGGTGGGCATGCAGTAGATGCTGCCATCGCAGTACATCTATGTAACGGAGTTGTTCAATGCCATGGAAGCGGCATTGGTGGAGGGGGTTTCATGACTGTATATAATCGCTATCACAAAACGGCAGAGATTATCGATGCGAGAGAGACTGCTCCGGGAGAAGCTACCCAGTTTATGTTTCTCAATCACTCATCAGTGGTCGGTAAGTAGGGTAATCAGGGATGGGCCATTTGAAACGACATCATTGAAATAAGTCTGTCTGTAATGCAAAATTAAAATAAATAAATGATACTATACGATACAGTTATATACGATATTGACAAATATGTGTTTATTTTGCATTTTTAAAAGGAAAATTCCACTAGCTCGTCCGAATTGTCAGTTTACTTCATTTTGAAACATACTGGCATGTAATGCATGTCTCGTGTGTAATAGAACAGATCTAGAAGAAAACTGGCCAGTTCGATGTGTTCAACTTTCCATAAAGTCGATCCAGAAAGTTGAGTCGGAACCTCACAATATATAAGTCGTGATTTTTACGTAATATGCTCACAGTATCCAACCTAACAGTGCGTGATTTAATTGTCAACAGGAGGGTTGTCTATAGGAGTACCTGGTGAAATAGCTGGCTACTGGATGGCTCACCAACGTTTTGGCAAATTACCATGGGAACGACTTTTTCAACCAACTATCGACATGATGGAAAATGGGATCATAATGACTGAAGCTCAGTTTTATTTCGTCACTAAAAATGAAGATATAGTACGCAACAATACAATATTAAGGTATGATCTTCTGTTCAAGCTTCGTGAGTCTGTCACGTGACCTTGTTACCGGGACAGCGTCATTTCACCCTTAATGTTGTGTGATTCATAACTGTGCTTGAGCCAATACATACTATTTTATTACGTTATTTTGGATACATAAAATACTATTGTATATCGTGAAATATTATAACTTGTCCAAACAAATACATCATTCGTATAAACTGCGTCCTCTAGTGACAGACATCAAAATGATGTCAAGACAATGTTGTTTAAATCGACAAATATGTCTAGCTGCATTGTCTTTTACGATCAAACGATATCGCTGCCCTAACTTATCTGTTCAAGTCAATGTAAAAGTGCAGGGTGCTGACAGGATAAGGGTTAAACGGCGTGTATGCCACATTTACGTCACGGAAACTCTTTGTCACTAGAGGGCGCGATTTATAAGAATGGTGTATGGTACTGGGGTCGTTTTAGTAATGTTTTTCCATTATTATCGTCCATAGGTGTTGACATCGCTATGCGATACTGAGCATGTTCTTCTTTTTACAGTACCATCTTCGTCAAGGATAATGGACAGTTGGTTAGAACTGGTGAACACTTCACTATGCCGTTGTTAACTGAAACTTTCAAAAAAATAGCTGCAGGTGGTGAGAGGGTTTTCTATAATGGCGATCTTTCCCAACAAATCGTATCAGAGATACAGGCAGCTGGTGAGTACCGTTGCTATAGAAAATATTTTATTCTTTTCTATTCTATTATATTATAAATGCACGAAACACCCAACGGAATATATAGTACAGGGAATTGGGAGTGGCAAACCGCAAGACAGCGATGCTGTCTTGTACAATTCCATGCGGATTATATGTACTTCTCGGTGGCGAACGGTGCGTCTTACATTTGCGAGTCGCATTTGTCAAGTTAGAATCTTGTGTTTCATATTTATATGTTCATTTTATTGTTTTGCATCTACATTTTCAAACAAAAATTGTAAAAAAAAAGTCAGGAGAGACAACACAAAAATTCAATGTCCGGAACAAAAAAACAGTACTCCCAGATAATAGAGCCAACTAAATGCAGGTGAATGCAATTTATTCTGTTTCAGGCGGAATAATCACGCTGGAAGACTTAAAATTGTATTCACCTGTTAGACGTCAACCAGTCACGATTAAGCTGAATGACAACACTATGTACTCACCGCCCCCACCGTCAAGTGGCGTTGTTTTACAACTTATTCTGAATATTCTAGAAGGTATTATTCTTGTCGTTGCTTGATTTCAGTCAGGTCGATAACTTAACTCTTACACTTTGTCGCATTTTATTAAAAATTATTGAATTTACGATCCATCCCTTGTGAGCGCCATTACTTCCAAGCGTCAATTATTTATTTTCAGGTTTTAATTTCACGCGGGAGAGTATTTCCAAAGTTGATGAAGCCATCCTCACTTATCACCGAGTGCTCGAAGCGTTCAAACTATCATATGCAAGAAGGACTGAGTTAGGAGATACGTCGTTTGTCGACATCAGAGAGGTGAACGACTCCAAGTGACTATTTCCGAGTTCCCTCAAACGCCCATTCTGCCGTGAGGGCACAGCAAATACGTCATAGTCATTTGCGCAATTTAGTAGCACTGTTCAGAGCTCGCGTTCAGTAGAGTCAAAAATCAATATAATACATGTAGATAATAGTTGGCAATCGCTTGTCCTAAGTAACCATTTAAAAATAAACATCGTAATGTCGTCGCTTAAAAACTCATTCATTTGACACATTTTTTTACAAAACTGTTAAAAATCAATGTGTATCTCGCAAAATGTAGTACAAATATGACATGACTTCCCCTCTAAAGAATAAGCGTTGTAACGAACACGAATATTTCCATGAGGTAAAATAACGAATTTTGCCGCTTTTCAATGTTATTTTATGAGAATGACAACTCATCGTGTTTTGGTTATTTGATTCGTGGAAATGTAACATAATAACAGAATGTTCTCTGAGTACGTAAAGACGAATACAAACTTGTGTCACTATAAAACAGCATTACCTATTTTTTATGAGAAATACGAAAACAAGAATTTACAATGCGCTGTGATCATGCCACAATGATTCGATGTGACTTTCAGTTTATAAAGCAGTGAGAACTAATCTAAATAAACAATTTAATTCCAAAAATGTAAATCGACAAAGTGTTTGGGTCTGAACATTTAGTGCGGAATGATATACTAGTAGCCTTTTTCCACATCGAGTCCCGTGCGTACAGAAGTAAAGTGCATCACATGCTCCCTCTTACGGTGGAAATGAAATACACTTTCATCTTTACAACTCGGAAATCGTCGATTAACTTACACATAGCGTTTATTTATTTTTTCACGTAAAGCTTACAAACTTATCTTTATTTATCATATTATACCTCCTCTCCCTTAACTCTAATATTACCTATCACGTGATCTGAACAATGATGAGTTCGTATGCTTGTATGTGATTGAAGAGGGGGGGGGGGGTGACAGTGGAAAGAGTATAGTGGATGACAGTGTGATATCAAAATTGAAACCGAATATTGAATTCCATGAATATAGGAAGACATATCCGTGTTGCAATCACTGTCCATTGATCACGTGTCAATATAAAATACTGGTATTTGATTCTCGGTTTCTTCTCACGCTCATTATTATGTCTCGCGTGAACACCAAGAACAACTTTGATGTAAAGTCGTCTTAGTTAACACATCTTTTTTTTCTCTGTTAGCTCGTTGAATCCATGCAAACTGGACAACTTGCCGAAGAATTACGATCTAGAATCACGGATACCATGACACACAAAACGCAGTATTATGGAGGGATATATTCACAAATCGACGATGCAGGAACCTCGCATATATGCATCCTGGATGAACACGGAAACGCCGTATCCATGACCAGCACAATAAACTATGAGTTAGTGTAATATGTGTATGCCTGGCAAATAAGAAGCGCCTTCTCGCGACGAATGTTTTCTGGGAAAACTCATTTCAGTCGTTACGTGAACTCGTTCGCCAAAATCAAACGAGCGATTGCAAATCAAAATTGATCGACGATGCGAACGGAATTTTGTCGCTAGAGGGAGCGAATAGTGTGTTTATTAAGCTTTTTGACAAATATTGATTTCGTCATTGCATAAAGAATGATATATAGCAGAAAATAATCATTAATTTTACACAAATATTTACGAGTATGATGTAAAGGGTGGTGTAGGTTAGACATCACTAGCAGACATGAAATAATAACGACATGAGAGGATGAATCAGTAATAATTACACCACCACAGCTGATATATTCCAGTAAAATAACATTCCTACCTTACCATTTGTTTTCCAGTTTCGGTTCTCAAGTCGTGGGCAATGTGACTGGTATTATATACAACGACGAAATGGACGATTTCTCAACACCGGGTCTGACCAATACGTGGGGCTATGAACCATCTCCGGCAAATTACATTACTCCTGGAAAACGCCCTCTGTCATCAATGTCTCCTTCTATTATCGTTGATAAAACTGGGGATGTTGTTATGATGGCGGGAGCTTCTGGCGGAAGTCGCATCATATCCAGCATGTCTTTGGTGAGTTTTTCTATATATATATATATAGCACCATATAGAAATAAGCTACCGGCTGCCCATATGCCATATGGCATAACTCTCTTCCATACTGGTTGAATCATAAGCGAAAGAGCATGGCGCCGCCACCAGTCAATGCTGCTATATTTTCACAGAAATACAATACTCAATAATTATCATTCAAGTTATTGAGTCCATATTGAGGGTACAATTGAAAAACAAAATTTCACTTCAAATAATCTTTTGTACAATTTTTATATTGGCTTCGACAAAATAATTATAATTCTGCTTTGTTTGTATTTA